ACAAGTAAGGAAACAGGGGCTCACTCAGCAAGGTGAAAGAATTTGCCCAAAGTCATTCTGTCACTAATGACAGAAAAACAAATTTGTCATTTATAGTTCTCTGTATGTGTATTGATACAATCTTTTAATGTTTATCACTTTAGAGAGGGATTTTTGATGACTAAAATGACATACAAAGCTAAAGAGATGCCATAAAAATGTCTTAACACACATAAAAACTTAACTTACATGAATATATAACTACACAACAAAATTTTGTTTGCAGTTCTCAAAAGAGAATAGAACTTTATTAGTAGCAAAAACATGTAATCTGATATTATTGTCAAATAATTTCATAAAGCACATTAACCAGGAAATAGGATTAGCAGCTATGATTAAAGGATAAAACGATGGTTTTATTCTGGCTCTATTAGTCACTTAAGGGTCTATTCAAAGAGTTCTAAGTTTTAAAAAAAACAACTCTATGAACCCATTGAGGTTTACCTCCTGTCTTCCGCAGAGCAAATGATTAGCAGACTGCTCTGTGAACTTTTACAAAGAACCCTTTTCTCCTCCGTTTCTATCCATCTGAAAGATGGATTCTTCCTCCATCCTAAATAACTCATCATCTCATTTCAAATATCTGATAAAAATGAACTCTTAGCATGAATACACCCTTTTTAATCTCTTTCACTCAACTCTACTGGATAGTCAATAAAATGTTTTGATTTATACTTCACAGAATTAAATAGATGGCTTTATTTAAACCTGTCATGTCAAATTAAAACACTTAATGTGTAAAGTGTGATTACGAGATTTTCTTTTCCAAGCTCCAGGACCAATTAGTAACAATATTGAAATGCACTAATAATAAGCAATCAGAGCATTAAGAAGAATGTAATCTTTTTACTAATGAGGCAACTTTGGCATCAATTCAAACCTAAGCTTAGTGGGCACTGTGATTTTGAAAGGGATGAACTTCCTGATATAGACTCATGCAGTTTCTCTTAATACTAACATCTTCTTGTTTATTTAGGTATATAATTTATAAAATACTTTCATACCTAGTAATTGTCTACAGGATAACATTGTGAATGAAGTAGGGCATTTCCTAAAGGCCTATTCTGTTCTAGACACTGTACTTACACTGGGATGATTTTTAAAAAATGAACAAGAATGAATTCTATCTTGAAAGAGCTCACAATCTAACAGAGAAATGAACAAATGATTTCTATGAAATGCACTATAATAAATAAGGAAACAAACAAGGAATTGTGATTCCCTAGCAGCAAGGCCTAACACCCTCTAGCCAGAGATGGGGCTGGAAGTGTCTTAGGTTTTGGGAAGGAGATCACATAGAGCAGGCTTTTGAAGGATAAGCAGGAGCTTTCTGACATAAACGTGGGGTGGGGTAAAGAAGAAAGACAATCCCAGGCAGAGGGAACAACATGTATACAGTGGATAGTGGGAAAGCACTATCCCCAATTAAAAGATGAGGAAGGTAAGCTCCAAGGTAAGTGAGCTGCCTAACGCCACATGAAGATTAATTTAACAATGTATAAAGAATATAGGTCTTCAGATTTTAATCAGCTTTGTACACCTGGAAATGCCAGTACATGCTGGACAAGAACATCAGATAAAGATTAGTTTCTATCTCCTATTTACTCCTTCCTAAGAGATGGTCCGTGCATGACCCAGATCCTGGGGAGTGAGAAAGAGTGGGCAGAGATAAGGAGGGGCAGAATGGGGAGGGAGGCTTATTTAAACCTCCTGGCAATCCTGTGAGATAGGTGTTTTTACTATCCCCATTTTATATATGAGAACATGGAGGGCCAAAGGCATTAACAAAAGTTGGAAATTAAGAGAAGATTCAAACCCAGGTGACTAACTTCACCAGGCTTCTAAGCTCAAGCACTTAACCATACCCTATAGAGCCTCCCTACTCTGCCAAACAACCCTAGGCCATTCTTGATCTGAAGACATCAGAGAAAGAAACCAAGTGGGTTTTGGAACACATGGTCCCACAGATCTCGTACTGTACCACACATCTGAAAATTCACACAAAATTTCACATTTGGTTCTCTTATTAATCTGGTATTCCTTGAGTAGAAAAGCCCGCACATAAGGTGGCATGGGTGCTTTCTGCAACATTTTTACAATCTAATTTAATTGGACAAGAGGAAACTTAACAAGTGGTAATCAAAAAGGAAATCACAGAGTAACAGCATGAAGCCTGGAGATATATAAAGGAGGAAGCCCCAATCCCTCTTTTTTGCTTGAGTGTGGGATTTTTCGAGGGCAGGAGGGAAGCATACAAATGTGTTTCAGGTGTGCTAGCATAGCTGCTACTCACCACACAGTTCAGACCAAAGAATGGAGTAGAGTACACCCTGATTTCCTTTATCAAGGGTTCATATAACAACCTTAGGATAGCAGGCAACCAAACTCACCCCTTGAATAAGTTTTAAGGAAGCAGACAATTCAGAGCTGTCATGGTTTCCTAGAGCAAATGGCAACAAATCCAGTGTTGCTGACAATATTTTCTCTCATAGGCAGATCCCGAATTCCCTGGGTTCATTTTAGCACACCTGAAACATGTTTGCATGCTCCTTCTTCCCTCAAACCAGGCCCCTCGCAAAAAAACAACAAAACCCCACACATTCAAGCAAAAAAGGGGCATTGGGCCTTCCTCCTTTATATATATTCAGGTTTCATGTTGTTATTTTGTGACCTCCACCTTTTTGGTTACCAGTTTAAGTTTCCTCTTGTCCAACAGACAAGTATTTGTCCAACTGACAGATATTTCACCTTGTGAAGCATATGGGGAAATAATTACAGGAATGAAATCCCTAAAGAAGGTTGTGGACTATCATGTTCAAGACACATAAACCAATCTGGCCAGGAACAGTGGTTCACGACCATAATCCCAACACTTTGGGAGGCCGAGGCAGAAGGATCAACTGAGGTTGGGTGTTCAAGACCAGCCTAACCAACATGGAGAAACGCCACCTCTACTAAAAATACAAGATTAGCCAGGCATTGTGACACATGCCTTTAATCCCAGCTACTCAGGAGGCTGAGGCAGGAGAATCACTTGAACCCTGGAAGCTGAGATTGTGGTGAGCAAGAGCCTTCCATTGCACTCCAGCCTGGGCAACAAGAGTAAAACTCACGCTTCCAGACCCAGACAAAATTTCATATTTAGTCAACTGGTATGGCTCGCTCACTAAGGTAACAATTATACGCATGAGAAGGAAGGAAATTAATCAAAACAATACATAAACCAATCCATCCTCACTTTTCACTGGGGTGATCTGCAGTTGAAAGGTCCTACGCAAATCCAGAAATAAGAAAACTTCCTTTCAGGCTAATTGTCAGCCCTTACAGATCTCTAGCTCTCCAGGAAAGAGGCTCCCAATCAGTAGTATAAAATCTGCCAGCAATCTCCTAGTGGGCACTATCAGGCTTTCTTCCAAGGTTTCCCACTGTTGTGAAGGGAAAAGCTGACATGGTTACACCCTCCCCAAGCTGCTTAATATCTTGTCAGAACTACCATCGACTCGTTTCCGTGACCTTGGCACCTGCTAATAACTCTTCCAACCCCTCAGCCCCCACCCTACAAAACCCACATGTTAGTTTCAGGGAAACAGACAAGGGCATCTCTTCACAAGGTTCTGAATGTTAACCAACTGTGGATTATATCAGTTAAAAGGAGGGAAAAAAATGGGAAGGGAAGTTCTGTATACAAGTAAACAAACACTTTTTTCCCCCTACAAAGCAGATACTCCATAACCTGAGCTACAAGATAAGCACCCTAAAAAGCAAGAAATTGACTAGGATAACAGATATAATACTTCAACTATGGCTAGAACAGTAATTATTATCCCCAGCAACTAGATGATCAATCTCTAAGCTTGGGTTGCTTTAAACCATAGAAACGAAGTGGTTTTCTGTTTTGTTTTTTTTAATCTGTAGACCCAAGTTTCACTTACAAAACTGTTCTTAGTGGTCTTTGTCATGGGACAGACAAAAGCACAGGACAACTAAGTCCTTCTGGAAACCCTAACCCTCAATTCCAAGACATGCGTATATGCAGTTCCACGGTACAACCTGCAGTGACGTATTAGTGAGGCTCCAAAAGACAATGCCTAGCATCAAGTGGCACGAAGGTGATAAAAGTCTGGAAAATCATATAAAAAGAGAAACTTTGGCCTATTTACAGTTTTCCCAATTACATTAGACATACGCAAAAGTTGAAAATAAAAATTTCCCCTCAAATATAAGGATACAGAAAAAAATAATAAAATAAAATTTATTCTGAATTCTGAAAAGGTTTTATGGCCTAGAAAGTAATTTTGGGAACTAACCTCGATTTCACTTTCTAGGTTTAAAAACTGTAGCCTCTTAAGAGCCCAAGGACTACTTCAGGTAAAAGATAAGAAAATTTAACATGTTCGGTTCTGAGGTTTCATAAAATCCCAAATACCTGAAAGGGGGAACAATGTGAAAAGAGGAAAAGTGGGAGAATGTGAGCTCAACTAATAACATGGCTATTCTAGGAGAGGAAAATTTTACATCCTGCCCAAGAAAGAATTGTTAGACACTTCAATGCAAGTCAATTTTCTTCAAAGTGAAAAGTACGCCCTCATAATTGAGAGTTATTTACAAGAAAAATGAAGCCTGTTTCCAATCTGAGAATACTACATAAGGAAAATAATGCTAATTTTCGACAAATGCAAAAGTTTTATCGGTATCTCTTGCAAACAGAAAAAAAAAGCGATGTATCTAAATAACTACTGTGAAAAGAAATGGCAACCTGACACTAAAGGGTCGTTTTTAAAAATATAATGTTCAAATGACAGAACTCAAATGATCTGTCCACAGTAAGGCCCGGAGAACTCTGAGCAATATTTTCTATTTAGTCAACTGGTACGGCTCGCTCACTAACGTAGCAATTTTACGCATGAGAAGTAAGGGAATTAAGCTGGCTGAGTGCGGGTTAAGTGACTGTGTTTTGAGACCTGCTCACAGGAAGCCACTACATCCTGCCTGAAGTCCCGTCAGTCACGCCGTCCCTCGATTCAAGTCCCGCCGCAGCGAGGTGGGGCGAGTACAGGTGTCCGGCCGAGCCCCTCCCAGCGCGCTCACCCGCGAACAGCCCGCGCGGCAGCCACTCGGGCCCCCAGGGCGGCCTGTTTCCTGCAGCTCAGGGCGCCTTTTTCAACCTCTCCCAGGCTCGCAAGCCCAGGAAACGAGCAGCCCCCTCCCCTTGGGCCAGCCCCACTTCCCCGCCCGCCTCCTCCTCGGGCCGCGCCTCCGCGTAATTACCACTCGGCTAGCACCGCCGGGCCGCTCCCCAGCACCCGCAGCCGCGCGGAGGCCTGCGTCTGAGGGCGGCCGGAAGCTCCTCACGCCCCCGGACCGCGCCCCCGGCCGCGCCCCGGGCTCTGGCGTCCCAGTGTCCAGGCCGCTCCGGACGACCAAGTCCCTCACGCTGGCGCAGCCGGGACTCCCCCACCCCAGGCCAATCCCCTGCTCCCACTCCCACCCTAGAGAAGCAGCCCCGGCCCACGCCGCCCCTTCGAGGCGACGCCGCCCCCAACACACCCCCTTACAGCCTCACCCGCGCCCAGCCCAGGCCCCCTCCCGGGCCTGCGATCCCAGCGGGGCTCGGCGCCGCCACCACCGAGCGCTCGCCGCCCCCTCAGCCCCGCGCCCGGCGCCGCCGGGGCGTCCCTTCAGCCCAGCCCCCGCTTACAGATCTTGCCCCGCAGGCTCTGCAACACTCGAACCTCGCAACTGTCCTCGTCCCCGGCCTCGGGCTCTGCCGTTGCACTCGCCGCCGGCGCATCGGAAGAAGCTGCCGCAGCAGCAGGCGCCGCCGCCGCCATGGTGCCGCCCGGGCCGTGCCGCAGCCCCACCGCCTGCGTAGCCCGGCGAGGCGGAGCCCAGCAGTGGCCTAGGCCCGGGCGAGCCGCGCGCCTGGCCCCGCCCCCGGGCCGCGGCCTGACTCGCCCCGCCCCGCCCCGCCCGCCGCGGCCCCGCCCCCGCCCCACCCGGGTCTCCATTCGCCGCCGCCGCCCCCGCCTCCCGCGAGCCGGGCCCAGGCGAAACCGCCCTCCTGAATTGGGGCGCTGGCTAAGTGTGGATCCGGGTCGTGGCTCTGAGAGGCCTTAAAATCCCCACCGGGAGAAAGCTCCGGCCCTCTGGTGATCCCAAATCCTCCCGAGAATTGGGCTCCCCTCAACGAACAGACCTGCACATCCCCTAACGCTAGGGGGAAATAACGGCCCTTCCCAATCGGGGGAACTCCCTGTGGGAAGAAAATAGAGTGGAATTTGGCAGGTGGGTGGACCTCAAAAGTATCTTATTCAAAAGGAGGCAAGAGATGCATTCGAGAGACTCCTCCAGTATTATCCAAACACTCCCCGCTGGCAAGCCAAACTCCTCCCACACAAATACTCTTACTAGGACCACTTCTCTGCAAAAGCTGGTTCAAGAAAAGGACCATAGACCCCCCAACTCCAGCGTGAGTGCAAAGCCTGACACCCTCTCAGAGAAATTCTGAAGCATTTACCATCACTTTTGTATTTCGGGAACAGAAAAAGCAAAGAAGGGTTCCCACCACCACTTTTAAAAGCTCACTTTTAAAAGTGGGCTTTGTTAAAAAGTTGACTGACCCTGGAAAATGTGTAAATCTTTGACTAATTGTTAGCTTTATTTCAAGGGAACTCTTTACAGTGAGTAAACTGCATGAATAATACCCTGGTATGTGATGAGAAAGACAATTTCCTGGTGTTGAGGTTATTAACTACGTTGCCCTAAGAAGGAAGAAAGTGTGACTTAATAGGGCAGGGTAATTCTTTTTCAGGGCAACAACAGGAATAAGCCAGTCAGTCAACAAATATTTTTTGAGGGTCAGACATAGTGATGGCCTCAGATTCAGAGATATACACAAGGTCAAGATGAAGAGAGCTCCCGCTCAGATAACAGAGATAACAGAAAAGGGCAGAGGCATGGAAGATGAGAAATAGAATGGGGTGGTCGGACGCGGTGGGTCACGCCTGTAATCCCAGCACTCTGGGAGGCCGAGGTGAGTGGATGAAGAAAGAGGTTAGGAGTTTGAGACCAGCCTGGCCAACATAGTGAAACCCCGTCTCTACCAAAAAGACAAAAATTAGCCGGGCGTGGTGGTGGGCTCCTGTAGTCCCAGCTACTCACGAGAATGAGGCAGGAGAATTGCTTGAATCCGGGAGGCGGAGGTTGCGGTGAGCGGAAATTGGGCCACTGCCCTCCAACCTAGGAGACAGAGCAAGACTGTTAAAAAAAAAAAAAAAAAAAAGGAAAGAAAGAAAGAAAAGAAAAGAAAAAAAGGAACAGGATGGGGAAACCTGAAAACTGAAGACAAATGTGCTGCATTTGCCAGGGCTGGACAGTTTTAGAGAATGGCCAGAGATTAACATGTGCCTGGCCAGCAAAGCTTCCAGCTCTGCCTGTGTTGCGGGTAACCCCTATTCCCCAATATGATCTTTACATCTGTTGGATAAAGTGAACCACCTCCTCTTATACGACTGTTCTGCTGTCATTTCATACCATAAGTTCAAAACTTAATTTCCTGTCTTCCTTTCCAAATCCGAGTTCACACCTTGTATACTGTTACTCGGGCTAGAAACTTTGACTTTTTCTTATCCGTTGTCCCCATACTGTTTTCAGTTGCCACATCCTCCGACTCTGCGGAAATCTCTTCCTTCCTTTCCATTCTGTCATTGCCCTTGTTAAAATTATTCTCATTTAAAGAGTATCAACGTGTTACAGAGCCATTTTCCCCCTTATTTTTAAAGGTGTGCCTTTTTAGAATCAGGCTCTTTGTCTGATTTTACATTTGGGGAAGTTACTCACCTTTCTAAACCTGTTTCTTTTCTTCTTTTTCTTTTTTCCTTTTTTTTTTTTTTTTTTTTGATAGTCTTGCTCTGTTGCCCAGGCTGGAGTGTAGTGGCACGATCTTGGTTCACTGCAGCCTCAACTTCCTGGGCTCAAGCAATCCTCCCACATCAACCTCCTGAGTAGCTGGGACCACAGGTGTGCACCATCATGCCCAGCTAATTTTTGTATTTTTGGTAGAGATGGGGTTTTGCCACGTTGCCCAGGCTAGTCTTGAACTCATGGGTTCAAGTGATCCATCTGCATTAGCCTCCCAAAGTGCTGGGTGTAAGCCACTGTACCCAGTTAAACTTGTTTCTTTTTTTTCTTTTTCTTTTTTTTTTTTTTTTTTGCATGCACTTAGGGCATATAAACCTGTTTCTTTACCAGTAAAGTGGAAATGATAAACTTTCTACTTTGACGGGTTGTTATTAGGGTGAAATAATTATTGGGAGCAGGTATGTGAAGCATCTAGTGGAATACTAAGCACATAGTAGGATTATCTCAGTAACTGATCTCATGCTTTTGACTGAAACTCTTGTAATAAGTCCCCCATCCCTCTCATTCCTCCTACATACCACTTAAATTAACTTTCCTAACAAAAAAAAGTTGGAGCTTGTCAGTTGCCTGCTCAAGAAAACATCAATGGCTTCATTCATCCCTTCAGCCAGTTAGCAAGAGCCACTACATGTCACAAACAATGCTAGAAATGACTAAAGTTCAAATTCCTCAGCCAAGTGTTCAGGGTGGGGACTGGACCCAGCCTACCTGACTCCTCTGATCTCCAGCCACACAGAGCCACTTTTCTCATCAGCCTGACTCTGTCCTTCCTCCTGCCTGGTCAAATGCTGCCTCATCCATCTGTTTCTTTCTCCAATAGACAGAGAAATTATTTGAACGTTTGTGAAGCCTTGATCACTTTTACATATAATACCTGGACATGTTCATATAATCCCAGATCCACTTTTTGAACTCTCCTCAGTAAATATCTATCAAGTGAATGGGTGGAATCATACTAGCTTCCTGCCTTCACTCTGCAGACTTGAAATTTTCCTTTTTTAGAAAATTCTGATTTGTATTTATTATTCATTATCATGCCTGTCTAAATGAATAAAGTATCAATATCTGTGCCAAAGTCTTCTAATTTCCCTTCTTTGTCACTAGCTGAACCCCAAGTATATAACTCTATTACTAAATAGTCACTAAAGGCAGGAAAATAATTTTACATAAAGTGACATTACACTTTTTTTGTTCTTCCAGATAGTCTTCCTGTTGCAGATTTCAGACTTACATACTGTTTCACTAAAATCCCCAAACTTCATGCTTTTTCATCCGAAGCCACTTGTAATTACTCTGTTTTTACTGATACTGGCCTACCTTGAAGAGATCTTTAGTAATGTCAATGTTTTCTTAATATAAAATATTTGGAAAATAAAGTTTTCTAAAGACTAACAAGGCTTACGGTATAATTACAAGGATTCTGTTACATCTTACTCCCCTTATTGCCCATGCATTGTGTTTTAAATTCATCTAGAGTTCCTCTCTTTTCTTCATGATGTTTAGTAACTGGAACAATATTGCATCATCACAAACTCGAACTTCACTTCCTTCCTCAAATTATTAATGAATGTGTTCAAAGGACATCACTCCTATCCCTAACACTCTCTGTTCTGATGAGCAACCATTCACTATTGTGCCTTTTCCTATTTCTTCACCAGTTTTAAATGTATTCAGTCATTTTAGCCCATACATTGGCTTGCTTTATGGTGGATGATGTAGGAAAACTACGTTGTCATTTAATAAGAAGACTATAATCTGCAGCTAGAAACTAATTCCTTAACTTGTCTGTTATGGCATATTTTTGAATCAGCACCCATCAACCTATAACATGGCATTCTAAGGGATTATCTCCTGGCCTTGAGTTATTTATTACATTTCTTTTCTTGTGAGTCAGGGGAATAGAAATGTGCTTGCTTTTTAATATTTAAGTGTAGGTCATTTTCTTTGTTTTTCTTTTTTTTTTTTTTTTTGAGACAGAGTTTTGCTCTTGTTGCCCAGGCTGGAGTGCAGTGGCGCAATCTCGGCTCACCACAACCTCTGCCTCCCGGGTTCAAGCAATTCTCCTGCCTAAGCCTCCTGACTAGCTGGGATTATAGGCATGTGCCACCACGCCTGGCTAATGGTGGCTAATTTTTGTGTTTTTAGTAGAGACGGGGTTTCTCCATGTTGGTCAGGCTGGTCTCCAACTCCTGACCTCAGGTGATCTGCCTGCCTCAGCCTCCCAAAGTGCTGGGATTTCAGATGTGAGTCATCGTGCCCA